TGAAGAATTCTCTGACATCCTCAGATCTCAGCAAACATACCAGATAAGTGCATAGTAAGCTTGTTATTCTTTAAGACATCTTGTTCTAGAGCATCACTTCAAAACCATACCTGCTGTGGCAATGTTCAATAAAAAGTAGGCTTGTGATAAACTTTATCTAAAAGAGTTTCATTTCTAAAATACCAAAGAAAACTCATCAGAAGCTAATGGTACCAACAAAATGACCCTACAGCATGTATTATGGATTCAGTGTTTTGAAAGCTCTAGTGAATTCCTTTGCTCCCTCTCTTACAAAAGTTATGCAAATATATTACAAAACCTACTTATATTATTAATGTTAAGGGAGGAAAGTATGTGCATGTATTTTTTAAAATTCTAATTTTTATTCATTCATTCACATTTTTTAATGTGTTCAGTATGAGATGCTTTTATTATTATTATTATTTGACATGGAGAGTAGGCTCAGTTCCTCTGCTACTATAAAAGTGGTAAAATGCTAGAACAGTGGGGCAATATAACAAACAGGCAGTACACATCAACAACAATAACATCAATTAAAACTACGCATGACCATAGTAACCAGTATGCACTCTACTCCGGGCGCTTGCTAAATTCTTCACATGCATTGCCCCACCGAAACCTCTCAGCAACCTATGGAATGGTTTTGTTTTCAATTGGGAGGTGAGGATAATAAGACCCAAAGAGACTAAATAAGCTGATCCAAGGTCATACAACTAGCCAAGGAGCTGGAAGTTGAAGTGGCTCTGAAAACCCAGGGTCCCAAACATTTTGATCACACCTCCCTACCAGGGAAATCATCTTGAGCAGGTAACATGGACAGATGCATTTGTATAAATTATGTTCATGTCCTACAATGCTAATATATTGTGCATATTTAAAAACAGGAATAAAAAGGCATGATAGCAAAATAAATATAATGGGATATCTTAGGCATCCCCCACAAGGGTGTGTATACTCCACTTTAAAGATATTGCCTCTGGTATCCAAGAAGTAAGGGTCTTTATAACTTTTCCCAAATTCCTAGAAGATTGTCTTTATATGATAAATGAAAGAAATCCATTAATCATTAACATTAGAAAGTAAAGGTGGCAATTCATTAGTAATTCCGAGGGATGCTCTTGGTCGCTCAGCTTATTCAGCTCAAAGTCAGCGTGGCGACCAGAAGAGCAATGAGGTGAAAACATCACACAAAAGGCTCAGGGATTGTCAGGCTTTTATAGTCCCGGCAATTACTGAATTAAATGGTCCCATTCAAGAGTGAGGACAGGAAGTGGGAACACGGCCAAAAATGGATGGGGCGGGCTGTATAAGGAATAAACCACAATATGGATCAAGAGAGCAAGGTTATGGAGGAGGTAATGGAGCTCAAAAAAGATGTAACCTACTTTATTGATGAAACCAGAGACCTGGAAAATAGGGGCTGTCAGGCTAATCTTAGATTAACTGGCTGTCCTCGGGGAGATAAGGAAGAAAACACCTGACAGGTTTTGGAGAATTCAAAAGGGAAACAATATCACCGAGGAGAAAGCCTGCCCCGGGATGTAACAAGTCCATCAGGCTCTTGAAGGGCAGCCCTGTGGCAGATACGGCGACGGGCCATCTCCCCGGGCTGGCCCACTCAGCAAGGCATTCCCTCTTAGCATTTATTTTCCACTCAGAAAACAAAGAGGCCAGGCCACGCTGACCATAAAAGAACCACAAAGATTAAAGGTTAGAATGGCCTTGATGGCAGCCTGATCCCTTCCAGGGCAGGGAGTGGGACCTCGAAAGGCATGCCTCTGGCTGGGTTATGTCAGAACTTTGCCTTGAGATGATTTTGGTTCTTGTGTTGCTTATCGTTAGACCATAGTTAGCTACTAAGAACTCAACTGAAGTCAACAAAGCCTAATTGGCAACAACCTCCATATAAGGCACTCTGCTGGCACTACTATAAAAATGTGAAGAGTATGCAGGGATGGGGCAATAAACCCTTAAGAGGTTGAACTAGGACAAGAGATAAGAGGTGAAATATCAAAAGAGAGGAACAAACAAATTATTGGGAGATCAAAGGATGGAGCGTCAGGCAGGCATCTGAAATGAGTATCGTTTGTGACAGGCAGGGATTAAGGGGGGTGAAAAGGCGCTTTCAAACAGAAAGAACTTAAGGAGCAAAGACGCAAAGTGTGGAAACAAAAGGGTTTGTGGAGGAAATGCCAAGTGGTTTAGTTCAACTGGCAGAGAGAGATCTTCCTGGAGATTAAGGGATGATCACTCTACGGGAGGTCCTGGGAAGTCCTTCTGAGGGTCCGGGAGCTAGGCTCAGTGGTTTGAGGGCAATGGAGAAGGCATCTCTGAGTTATAAAATCGCCAGGATGCAAAAGGGGGAAAGTGCAGGAAAGAAGTGTGTTGGCTCTCGCGGTCACCTGAGTACGTTAGTAACAGGCAGTATCCTAGTTCTAGAATAATTGCCACTTTCGTTGGTACTAATTAACAATGTTCCTGGTGAGTATCTGGGGCACCCTAAACCAATTATGAAGCGCTGAGCGTCTGCAATAAGAAATTTCAATGCTCACAGGCACAATGGTCTCTGGCCAGGAGCTGAACAGATGGGACCCTCTGCAAGCACAGGAAACGCAGGGGAGTCAGCCAATCTAAATGAATGTGTTAAACTTGATCCACACCCTATATCTCCTTGAGTCTGCCAGCCAAATTATTCTGGGTTATGTAAATGAACTGTCTTATCTTTGTAAAACCTTGCAATGTTTTGGAAAGCTAAGCAAATTTACACATGTGCAGGTTCAACGCCGGCCAGGGGTGGAGAAGACTTGTCATTATTTCACAGAACTAAGGAACAACAAATATCAGATATGTTTATATTCTTAACGGATTAAGTTAAGGTAAGGAGACCTGGGGGAAAAAATATAAGACTCCAAAGTGTATCACTGACTGACTACATTATTCTACATTATTCCTTCACACAGCTATAGGAGCAGGCTACTAAGATTTAGGATAGGAAAGTGAGAAGACCACCTTAAGACATTCACCACAGGGGCACCTGGGTGGCTCAGTCGGTTAAGCGTCTGCCTTCAGCTCAGGTCATGATCCCAGGGTCCTGGGATCGAGCCCTGCATCGGGCTCCCTGCTCAGTGGAGAGCCTGCTTCTCCCTCTCCCTCTGCAGCTCCCCCTGCTTGTGCTCTCTCTCTCTCTCTCTCCCAAATGAAAAAATAAAATCTATATTAAAAAAAAAAAAAGATGTTTGGCACATACGTCCAACTGCCTGCCTGCACCCATTGTGCCTCAAATTGGGAACATCATCACTTCATGAACCATTTGTATAAAATAATAACACTGATCATTGCAGGAACAGGGTTCCCTGGGGTTCTTCCTTAACATCCTGCCATTATATTTACAAGTGCCATGCTAATTCCCCCCCCCCCACTTCTACATCATCCCCTCTCCGGCCCTACAGTGTGACCTGTAATGTCCAGTATGGCTCCAGTAGCTCTCTCAAAGGCATCACCCACTTCTCTTCATGACCCCTCACCTCTGCTAGTCGGAGCTGCCATCACGTTTCTGCTAGCTTACTTGTAACCCCTCCCGTGAGTCCCCCAGCTTCTCCTGTATCCCTAGAATCCACAGTCCATCCACTTTGATGAATCGACTTTCAAATCTGTCAGACGTCTCACCACGGCCCATAAGGACGACATAAGGAGGACTGTACACATCCAAGTACTCATCCCAAGTACTCAAGCTGCCATTCTTCTGCTCGCAATTCCGTCAGGGCACCGAGCAATCACCCACATCAGGACCCTTGCATTCCTTCCCTCCGCAGAAATGAGCACTTTGCAGAGCGGCCTCCCCCTGGTCCCTCAGGTCTCAACTCACCGGGCCACCTCCTCATTGCTGTTCCTGAGTACATTGCTCTGTAGATTTCCTTTACTTCTTATCAAAAATTATCTTATCTGTCTTATTTGCTTAATTGTTAAGTTGCCTGTCTTCCTCAAGTAAAATATAAGGTGCATAAAAGCAGGGACTTTGTCCATGATATTACATCTCAAGAACCTTGAAAAATGATCAACATATATGACATTTAAATAAATATCTGCTTTTGGATGGATTATTAACTAAACCACAAATCACATTAAACATTTCACAATAAACATTTTCACTGAAGTATCTAATTTTAATTTTCCAACAGACATTTTACTTCATTTATTCTTTTGGATTAATACTCCTTTTAAAAGCAATTTTTTAAACTCTTAACTTCATAAATTGAGAAAAGGAGAGAGGTTTTGTTTTGTTTTGTTTCTATATGAGCCTGTATTGGACTAAAACATTATTGCTTTGAGTGTGCAGAACACTCTGATAGTCATTTGAAGCCCAGGAAAAACTAGAAAAACCTGAAATACAAAAACAATACAAACAAACAAATTGCAAAGTTTTTCTCTAAAGCTCTGTGTTAAACTGACCACTCTCCCAAGCTCTGAAACTTACTCCACCTCCTCGTGCCAACCGCAGGGTGAGGAGCGGGGGCTCATTCACTCCACAGTTATTTAGGAAGTCACTACTGTATACAAAGCACTGTGCATGGAGTTGGAATTCAATAAAAACCAGCACCAGATCCTGCCTGCCTAGAGCTTTGAGTCTATTCAGACAAAAATGAGTACAAAGAAGAGGTCTGTGTCGACCAGTTTCACTGTGAGGATGAAACAAGACAACACATAAACACACACACATAGTAAGCCAGAAAGTCCAGAGAGTGCTATATGTGTGTGCACAATGATGGTGCTTCTTTCTAGAATCCAATGTCCATTTTTACATGCACAAGGGACAGACGAGGAGAATAATGATCATGAGAGATTTTCAAAATATGGAATATGGGAAATGGTGGCATGACCCAATGTGCAGGAGAATAATCACAGGAATATTAAGACGGCTTCAGATATTTGGAAGACTATCAGGTAGAAAAGGAATAGATCTGTTTTGTGTCATCTTAAAGATCCAAACTAGGAACCAGTGAATGCTACGAACACTCGGCTGGATATAAGGAAGAATTTCTAAATGATGCCCAAAGTGTAACAGGCTGTTTCCAAAAGACAGTGAATGAACTGTTCATCCCTGGGAAAGTTCAACATGAAAGTGATGAGAATACCAAATTTTCATCTTTGAAGAAGTAAACTTTCTGAAATGCCCTGGGAAGCTTAAACTATAAAATGGTACCAAGACTGGATCCCCTAGTTACCCAATTGCTCCCTTACCCAATGAGGGGAGGAGCCTTCCCCTCTATTACCAAGGTAGAACATTACTATAGTTAATCTCATGCTTTAAAAAATATATATTGGTATAGTGAAATATGGAATGATGTCTAATCCCTAATGGGGAATGTAAAATGCATTAAATTCTAACATGCTTATAAAATTCAGAGAGATAATCCTTCATGGACAGCCACTAATGATGGTGATTAAGGAAGATGACTTTAGTTCAAACAAGCAAATGATTAAGCTGAAGAATACAAAATGTGAAAGAGCCCTAATTAATAAAGTAGCAAATTTTTCTTTTCAGTCTACTTTCTAGAACATAAATATGTGAATCATCCTTCCAGGATATAGATGAATGACCTTCATATTCTAAAATTCAGCTAGGGCAGAAATCACTGCCTGAAAACCAAAGTGCCATTCCAAAGGTCTACTGGAAACATTCCAGAAATGCATGTAAGAAGCTTTGGCAAAGGCTCTAATCGAAAAAGGAAGCTGGGAAACTGATAAGGAGGGAGAGCAAAATACAAACTTCCTGATTTCCTAGTCTGGCTTCCTGTCATGGATTTCTATTTCAAATATATCTTACTGAGAAAATTATTAATGTTGTATATTCATCTTTAAAATCTACCTTTTCATTCTTTCTCTAGATCCATTCAGTCATCAACTACTGGTGAATTATAATGCCCATATTCAATTTACGGGATAATAACTTCACAGGTGGAATTTCTCTTTTTGTTACTTGCTGATTTATATTTATAGAATCAAAAAAGGAAAAGAAACATGAATCCCAATTCTTCAAATCAGTAGTTTCCTCATAATATTATAAAACATCAGTGTTTAAGTTAGCAGAAATGAAAAGAATCTTTAGTGAGTCCTTTGAAAAAGGATGCCCCACAGCTATTAAGGAGAGCAACTGAAATCCAATTCTATAGTGAATTTAACATCAACTGAGGTTGCAGACGGTAGTAGTGCTTGGAAGAAGAAAGATCCACAATAAAGAGAAGGAAAATGGAATCCAGAAGTGTCCACTCTTTCTCCTCCAACTGTTCTCCATTTTCAGCCTGGAAATCCTGACCAGAGGGTAATCTAAACTCTATAATCCTAAACTACAGGTAATAGAAGAAATCTGTTCTCTTGGTTAACTGTAAAAAAAAAAAAATCTCCATCAGAGCAGTAGACATTCAGTATGTGTGTTCCCTTTCAATGCCAAGAGTATGTGTATTTCACTTCAGTCAATATGGAGGCATTAATTTTGGTTAAGTGCACAAACTTAACCAAAGGTTCTACCATATCCTGTCTATGGCATCAGATTATCTAATCTCTCATACCTTAGTTTTTTGTATTCATCAAAATGAGGACAATGACACCAAATAAAGAGGTTTCTTGTGAAGATGAAATAAATACATGTAAGTTAAACATTCAGAACAGTACCTGGGACAGGAAAGCACATGTATTGTGCTTTTATTTTTAATATTTAATTTTTAATATTTTAAAATATTTCAATATCTTAAAATATTTTAAAATATTTCTGTGAGAGAGAGAGAGAGAGAGAGAACAAGCTGGGGAGAGGACCAGAGGGAGAGGAGGAAGCAGACTCCCCACTGAGCAGGGAGCCCAATGTGGGGCTCGATCCCAGAATCCTGAGATCATGACCCCGGCCAAAGGCAGATGTTTAACTGCCTGAGCCACCCAGGCACCCCTACTGGTAAACTAGTATTCAGTAGCTGTATAAACTTGAGCCCTGAGCCACATATGGGCACCTCCTTAAATCTTTCATATAATTATCATTTTTAAGGGCACCTGGCTGGCTCAGTTGGTTAAATGTCTGCCTTCAGCTCAGGTCGTGATCCCAGGATCCGGGGATCGAGCCCCACATTGGGCTCCCTGCTCAGTGGGGAGTCTGGATCTCCCTCCCCTCTCCCTCCCCCCAGCTCATTCTCTCTCTCTCTCTCTCTCTCTCTCTCTTTCTCTCTGAAATAAATAAATAGAATCTTAAAAAAATTATCATTTTTAGCTTGAACCTTTGTCTCTATGATAAACTCATATCTTATACTATACACCGAAAATCGAACTAAACAAACTCAATGACTTAACAGCAGGTAGTTTACTTCGGGGAGAAAACGAATTGTTAAGAGTCAGCATAACCTCCACAGCTTTTAATTGAAGAATTTTGCCATTAGCGGTCACAGGAATGGGACAGTGACCACGCTTTGTGGCTGACGGGATGGCTCCAGAGAGCACACGGTGTGTTGAACACGCAACAGCGGATGTGTGTTTTGGCATCACTAAAATAAAAGTTACCACGTTGAATCCACAGAAGATCTTTGCACTGAAGGGGCCCTGACAGCATTTGTCAGCTGAAACATTTTACGGCTCCAGCGCAGCTTGTTACAGGCAATGGAAAACAGCACTATTAAGCTCAGGGTGGTGCTGAAATAGTTTCATACAACCCATACTCATTTTTCCTACCACCGAGTGAGGATGCCCATCGAGAAGGGCCGTCACGGACAGGAGGTCTCTGCAATTCATCGGTATTGACTGTAATGAGGAAGACATTTTATTGCCACCTGGTGTTACAGTCCACCTAGTAACCCACACAGCTGTTTTGATTAATACATGGACTTAACATAAAAAAAGCACTTTTACAGCAGTTTTACCTCGCAGAGCTCCCTTTATAAACTCCAAATAAAACAGAGCTTCCTACAAACAGAGGAAGGATTACATTGAATCCCATTGTTTAGAATTCAAAAAGCAACCTTGAAGGTGAGTATGGATTAAAGCAGCCTACCTTTCCGGAGTGAACAGGGCATCATTTTCATCAACGATTACTCCTCTTATCTGCAGCTCAATTAATTTTTGGTGCTAAGGAAAGCTCTCAATTACTGGAAGACATCCAAATCTGGAGGGACAAATACCGCTCTGGTAAAGACCGTAAGAAGAGCTGGAGGAGGAGAGGACAAAGAGAAACATCTCCACTTGGAAGAAAAGTGCATCAGTATAAAAATGTGGCATGTCAACCATATCTCGTGCAAAGATCTTCCGAATGCGCAGGTTTTATATAACTTTCCTGCCAATAGTAGCAACATAATCCAAACACAGAGCAAGTTCGATTTTATGAGCCGCTAACATTTTATCTGTCAAACTGAGCTGCATCCTCTCACAATGAAATGAAGTGACTTCAACAAAATTAGATTTTGATAGATAACTACAAAATCTTGTTATTTAGAGGAAGATTTAAATCTTTTCCATCATCAATTAATATTTAGTAAGCACACATTGAGTGCAAGGCACTGTATTCCGTGTTCTGTGCCTATTCTTATGAGAATAATAATTTACCTATCTTTTCATAATAGAATTGCAAAGCAGTCTGTAAGATCTGTCTGGTGATAAGTAATCAGAACAAGTACAGGATGGTAACAAGTACAAGGAAGAAAAAATCAAACCTACAACAGGGAATGCCAGCCTTATTCTAGGGCTGAGACCATAAACTCAAACGCCCACAGGAACCGGGAAGGCAAGCAGGTACAAATTGGTACAATGCTAGACAGAGGCAGGAAGCCCCCCAAAGACTAAGCTGGCAAGCACCAACTAAGGCTTTCACGTGAGATAAACTGAATAACAATTACACACTAGGTTGGAGGGCCTACTTGGCCTATGGTCCCACAGTCCCTATGACCACCACCACCACTCCTGCCATATAGAGGCGGGAACATTGGCTCTGAGGTCAGAACCTGAGATTGAGGCTCATCTCTACTAGACACCAGTTATGTAGTCTTGTGGGAATTACTTCATTTTTCCAAATTTCACTTTCTTCCTCTTCAAAATGAAAATCGCAACACAGGCTCTGCCTTGATAATATTGTTGGGCCATCCAAAAGAAATGCTGAAGCTGAAAGAATATGGTAAAGTTGAAGATACCTCAACAATGTACAGGATATTATGATGATAATGAGCCAGAGAACTGTGTAGAGTTAGCATCAGCTAAGTAGGAAATATTGTATCAGCTATTTATTCTATTGTATAATATGATGGGGTATTTGTACTGCATATGACATACATTTTAGAAAGGAAAATTGAATATACAACTAATTATTAGTATCTGGAGAAACACCTGCTCTCTAAATAATTATTAATTATAACTAATTAATAATTATAATAATTAGCCATGCTATGGGCAGGTAGAATGCAGATAATAATAGACTTGATGAGTGATTCCCAAGATGGCTCAGTGGTTGGAAGAAACATTTGCCCTGAGAGGCGGCGGGGAGAGAAGGCTGTGTAACCAGTTGCCCATCTACTTTTGGTCACTATATTTACTTTTGGGAGGGTCAAATAACATTAAAGTAAAATATACAATTTTTCAACATGGATATCTGAAAATGTAATGAGAAGCATAACTGATGACTTGGGATTGTTTTGTAAGCCTTTTATAAAGAAATTAATAAAAATGTTTTTAAAGACATTTTTTAAAAACCTGAATCAATGGTGAGTTCTACATGTTGTTAGATAATAAGATTCAACATCAGAAAGATGTCAGTTCCCCCGAGATAAATATATGGATTCAATATAATTCCAACCTAATCTCAGCAGAGATTTCTATGGATTGTGATTAGCTGATTCTATAGTGTATGTGGAAGAGTAAAGGGCCATGAAAAACTATAACACTCCAGAAAAACAGGGTGAACAGAACACTAAGACTTTTATATTAGAACTATAGTAATTAAAATAATGTGCTTTTGCTATGCCCTCAGATAAACAGAATAAAGCCTGGAAATAAACATGCACTATAAGAGAATTCTATTTATGACAGAGTAGGCATTGTAGATAGGTGAGGGCTAGATGCATTAGTCAATAAATGGAGATAAGTAGTAGTTAAACATATAGAAATAAATAAAATGGATTCAACTTTACAAACAACATAAAAGTTGCAAGGAAATATCTTTATAATCTTATGACAGTGAAAAATTTCTTAATCAATACACAAAAAATTAATTATAAAAGGAATAGTCTGATGAATACAATTACAATAAATGAAGGATATCCTTTTTGTCAAAAAGAAAAAGATAAAAGGAAAAGCCATAAACTGAGATATTTATAGCCTAAAACACTAACAAAAGATTCATAAACAGAATATATTAAAAACTGCTACAAATCAGTCCAAAAAGATAATAACCAAGGACAAAAATGTTTAAATACATAAACAAGAATTTTGCTGACGAGTAAATACAAAAACCCCCATAATACTTCACATTTAATATTTTGGCAAAAATCTAAATCTGTGGCATCTACAACTAGGTGGTGTGCAAATTGGTACAACCACTTGGCAAATAATTCAGCAATTTTAATCCACATATAAACCCAAAAAACAACTCCTGCATGCGTCAACCGGGAGACATGTATAAGAATGTCCATAGATGGGTACCTTGGTGGCTCAGTCGATTAAGCGTCCTACTCTTAGTTTTGGCTCAGGTCATGATCTCAGGGTCATGGGATTGAGCCCTGGTCAGCTCCATGCTCAGTGGGGAATCTGCTTGAGATTCTTCCCCTGCCCCAACTTATGCACTCACATGCATGCTTGCTCTCTCTCAAATAAATAAATAAATCTTTAAAAAAAAATAGAATGTCCATAGAAACAGTGTTTATAATATCAAGTATGTGAGATTCATAACTCTAAGGTCAATCAACAGTACATTAGATAAATAAGTGGTATTGTATCTACTCAATGAGATACTCCAGAGCTGAGAAAAATAAGCAAACTAAATCCAAGTATCAGTATCGATGAATCTTGCAACATAGAGTAAAAAATCTTAAAAGAAATCATTAAACATCATTAAACTCTAAAGTTCAAAAGCCGGCAAAACAGAACAGTGCTTCCAGATACATACATAGGGAGTATAGTAAAACTATAAATAAAGCATAAGAGTGATTTACAAAATTCAGTATTAAGTTAACCTCCATAGAACAGTGAAAAGTAATTATGGAGGGGGCACTGGACTTATAAAGTTCTGATAATTATTTTGTCTTAACCAGCAGGTGGTGAGCTTACAGTTTGCCTTCTTATTACTATGTAAACTATACATGCACAATAAATAATTTATCTATATGATAAATTTTACAATAAACACTTTTTAAAGAATTGGTTATCAAAGTATGTAAGGTTGTGGTAGATGAAGAAATTGCTAAAAAATAGCTAGTTGGGGAGGAGCATATTTGGAAGCAGCAGAATGAAGAGTAAATAATATGACTACAACTCCATTGTTCCATGAAATTTAAATAATGAAAGACAGAAAAATGAGGAAAAAAACAATGCTTTCAGGAGGACAAAAGATGGTTTAAAATTCTCTAGATATTTATATGTTTATATGAGAAGAGAAGAACAAATACATTTGCTCTGAAAGGTGATAAAAATCAACTGATATTTCTCATGTAAATTTATATCCATACCAAACCCTTCTCAATTTGATGATGAATCATCCTCTACCAAGCTTCTTAAGAAAGAGAGATAAAGAGCAGCATTTTTTTAAATTCACATTTAAAAATATAATAGAACAAGGAAAATTTCAATTTGGGAGATGCCACTGAGAATGGATAATTTTCATTTACACAATAAGTAATTGATGCATATACAATTAAATTTAGGCTAATTGGGATCTGAAAACAATGTAATACAAACGTATTTTTAGAAAGAAAGAGAAAGAGAAGGAAGGAAGGAAGGAGAGAAGGAGGGAAGGGAGGGAGGAAGGGAAGGAGGGAAGGAGGAGGGAGGAAGGGGGGAAGGAACTTCAAAGTATACCACTCATCATTAATAGGCATAACACACTACAGAGTAACAAATAAGATTGAAACAAAGCCAAAAATCCAATCTCCAAATATTTATTCCCAAGACCTTCTGAAAATACAATGAACATGTGAGTCTTATCAGAGTTATTAGTGCTACATTCATTTGTCCATCAAACAAAGAGAACAATTTCTCTCATAAAGTAGTGACTTTCAGTCACAAATTAGCAGCCCCGCTGGAAACATTTGGAAATCTATGAAAGCGGTTTTGATTATCACAATGACATGTAGGGTCAAATGGCATATAGTGGGTGGGAACTTCAGATACTGAACATCCCATAATATGTGAGACATTCTGGCACAATGAATTACCTCACTCCAAATGCAAAAAGTTTCCATATTAAAACACACGATGAGCCTTTGTCTTCTTCTACACTTACGTTAACTTATGCTAACTTTGGCCTTAATTAGTGCGGTAAGATAATTAGAGTATAAACTCCCTCACTCATAAAACTTCCACCTGTGAAGTAGATAATTTTAATTTTAATAAAATATGACCTAGGCTTTCTGGAATTTTCCTAAACAATGGATTCATTGGGGTGCCTGGTTGGCTCAGTGGTTAAGCCTCCAACTCTTGATTTCGGCTTAGGTCATAATCTCAGGGTCATGAGATCGAGCCCTGAGTCAGGCTCCTCACTGGGCATGGAGTCTGCTTAAGATTCTCTCTCTCCCTCTCCCTCTGGCCCTCTCTGTCTCTCCTCGTGGGCATGTGCACATACACTCTCTCTCAAAAAAACGGGGGCCATGGTGCCTGGGTGACACAGTCAGTTAAGCTTCAGATTCTTGGTTTCCACTGAGGTTGTGATCTCAGGGTCATGAGATCGAGCCCCACATTGGGCTTTGCACTGAGTGTGAAGTCTGCTTAAAACAGACTCTCTCCCTTTCACTCTGCCCCTCCCCCCATGCACTCACACACTCTCTCTCTCTAAAATAAATAATCTTTTTAAAAACCATACACACAATGGATTTATCTATAATTTCATTACTGTATAGATTTAAATGTTACAAAACCTTTGTAACTAAGGTTTTATTTCTTCGTTCCTTTATCTGTTAGGTTTAAGTAACCAGGAAAGAGGACAGCAAACCGATGGTGTTTGATGGACACTTAACACTCTCAGGGAACTCATTTTCATTTAACCATTTGCCTCTTTTGGTAGCTATTCAGCAAAAAAAAAAAAAAAAAAAAAGAGTGCAAGATAACAATAAAGAAGCCCTAAGAATATCAACAAAATACTCCATTCTTCCCTGCAAGACCTGTAATACAGGTTCTCTGTTTTAAGCCCATTAAAA